TTTAACAGGTTATGGACCCAAATAAAGGCAATTTTCTGTGTCAGCGTGTTTTCAAAAGAATCAAGTGATGTAGTAACCGCTTATAAAAGCGAAAAGTGGTACGTGGACTCAGGAGCAAGTGAGCAACAATTTGTCTTGGTTTCAAAACAATGTGTATATTCGAATCGGAAATGGAGATGTAATTCCTGCATATGGTAAACGAGACAATTATTAGAAGCTTATGATGACATGGATTGGAAAACGAAGCAAATTCTTGGTGTTCTATACGTTGCATAGATAAAACTCTATTTTCATTGATAAATGTCTAAATAAGGGATATACAACAAAAGCAATGGGAAATCAATGTACGTTCTCTTGTATTGGATCAAAAGAGTACTTAGCCTTGTGACCTAATTCAGACAGATCTATGCGGACCAAAGCAAGAATTGTATTTCGTTGGGTTCCGATGTATGCTATTATTCAGCGATGGTATTCAAATTTTGTGACGTGTACTGTAATTAAAATGGAGAGTCTGAAGTTCAGAAGTCATAAAAAATATTAAATCAAGTGAATGCATAGACTGGGAGAAAATTACGTAAAAGTATGTGAAATATTGAGTTGTTATAAAGGATGGCGCCTTGCAAAGCTGCAAGGATATGCGAACTACACTGTAAAGGGCTATATTCAAGGTATTGGGTTGAAGTCGTGAACGTTGTATATACGCTAAACAGGACTGGTCGATATTACAATAAAATAATCTTCCGTAACAATTATGGTTGGAAGAGCTCTTGATATTAGAGGCTTACATATATTCGAATCAACATTACAAAGGAAAAAGGACGGAAATGGAATGCAAAATCAAAAAAAGCATTTTAAAGATTATGAAGAAAATTGTAAAGGATATGGCATATATATACCAGAGGGAAAAACGAATTGTAATATCTCGAGATTTATTTATTTGAGATGATAATCATAGCATACTAATTAGTAAGCAAAATAAATAAAGCTTTAATCAAATAAAGGGAGGAAACTGGTTCAGCATCTGAAATAGATCGAGATGGAAATTCTGAAGATTATATTCGGCCAAACTAGCAAGAAGTCTTGGAATCTATTGAAGAAGTTTGAGGCCAATCACCATCCCCTAAAAAATAACGGACAACATCCTCATAACCTTCGGTAAAAGACATTTAGGGAAATTTATATGTTCTAAGCGTTCATAGACGAACAAGATGAGCCGAGCACCTATGAAGATGCTATTTCATGGCAGCTTTTTTATTTGAACGTTCCCACGCCTCACATTCCCACCCTGCCGACCGAGGGGTGACCTCCCATTACGTAGGGATCGTGTACACATCATGATCCGCATCATAATGGGAATTTAGTAGGAAATTGAAAACCAACTACACAATCTAATTCATCAGCTAGTTGTAAAATAATAAAACATGTATTTTAACTGTTGAAAAATAAAATTATTCTAGAGCATAGCATACTAATTAGTAAGCAAAATAAATAAAGCTTTAATCAAACAAAGGCTATTGAAAATAATGCTCAAAGGGAGGAAACTGGTTCAGCATCTGAATAGATCGAAATGGAAATTCTGAAGAATATATTCGGCCAACCAGCAAGAAGTCTTGGAATCTATTGAAGAAGTTTTAGGCCAATCACCATCCCTTAAAAAATAACGAACAACATCCTCATAACCTTCGGTAAAAGACATTTAGGGAAATATATATGTTCTAAGCGTTCATAGACGAACAAGATGAGCCGAGCACCTATGAAGATGCTATTTCATGGCAGCTTTTTTTATTTAAACGTTCCCATGCCTCACATTCCCACCCCTGCCGACCGAGGGGGCGACCTCCCATTACGTAGGGATCGTGTACACATCATGATCCGCATCATAATGGGAATTTAGTAGGAAATTGAAAACCAGCTACAGAATCTAATTCATCAGCTAGTTGTAAAATAATAAAACATGTATTTTAACTGTTTAAAATAATATTATTCTAGACTTAAAACTTCTAAACTCATTCCAAAAAACATCTACAGACAGTACACAGAATTAAAGTCAACACACATTTTACTAAGAGGTTCGCCCATTGAATAATTCGTGCGGTAAAAAATGGTAGATATTACTAGATCTAACGGAACATTAATCTAATAGATGAATTAGGAAAATGAAGTATATTACCATTTAATATTCTTAGTGCAAACATGGAGTTTAACAAATACGTCTGCTTTTAAGTGTAGACAATCTAATTAATTTTAGCCTGCTTGCATAAGAAGGCAAAAACAAAATCACTATTCCAATGTAAACCTCGTAAGGCAAATAGCAGAATTGTTTTTGCACAGATTCTATTTTATCTGAGTATATTGAGGATCCCATACAACAGAACCGTATTCTAATATAGAAGAGAGACAAGAGACGTAAATAACTGTTTTGTTATATATGGATCAGAAAATTCTTGGCCCACCGTTATTGTTATTACATGGCTATTAAATTTAATTTTGGATCCATCAAGAGGCCAAGATTGACAAATAAATCTACAGTTAATAATTAATGACCGTCAATTATATTGCAATATCAGAGAAGAAGATCTGGAATAAGTGTTTCAAAGAGGTTATTTAAATTCAAGTTTAAAGTAAGCACTGCAGATGGTTGCGTTTTCAAAGGAGAAATCAACAATTGATGATGCTATAATAGCTGCAGAAGCGGCAGAAAAATTATATAAGCGAAGAAGAAACGATTCAACGATATCAAGGAAAATTTAAACATTACGAAAAATATAACATAAATAAAAGTGAAATGGTTGAAGTATTTTCTGGGTAGCTCTTTTAACAATTTTATCTCTTATCAAATCCTGGTAGGATTTATAAGGTACTGAGATGTGGGAACCTGCATCTTTAACTAATTTTTTTTCTTTTCACATTCATCCAGAAACCCTCACTGAAAAGTTTTTTATGTAGCCTAAATCGACAATTTAGTTTACTTCATATGAAGTATATGTGAAAAATTATTTCCATGTTGATGCATTTTGTGAGTGTCTTGACTATGAAAAGTTAAGACTTTGTGGGGTACCAGCATGGCATAATAATAGAGGTAGAGGTGATAGTGTTTATATTCGCGGTTGTAAGATTCAGAAGATTATACGAAGGAATTTTAGTTTAATTAATTCTTTGATCTCTTCTATTGAGCATACGATCTCGTTACTTGGGTAAAAACAGTTTTTTGTCATTTGTTATCTTAAAATAAATCCTGTGGAGAATGTCCAGACAAAAAGCAAGGGAACTGATAAGGATTGGTGGCTCTTTCCGAAACTAGGCATTCCCTGCTTACCCCTTGGTAAACATTACCATCTTCCTCCACTAATAACACAAACGTTGTTTGTCTAAAACAACAATAACGAGATTAAGCCAAAATATTTTCCAACAACAAAATACTACGATATTCCGAACAAACATGCCAACACTGTTATACAATTTGTTTTCTTTTTGTGCCCCATTATGTCAAAAGATTGATAGGTAGATAAATAGATTGATATTGCTTTGAAAAAAAAGAAGAAACACAAAAAACAATTGCCATTTGCAAGAAAAAATTTCAACTAAGCACAAATTACTGCTTTAAAATCTTTTTTACAATATTTTTAAACATTTTCTGCGGACAAAATATTTGACATGACAAGGTTGCAAGATGAGGTTGGATTATTCGAAATCCATTTATAATTGAACGAAAAGTACAAAAAATTATAGTACCCTTAATATTGAGCGATTGGAAAATGATAGAGTACTTAAAATGTGTACGTAAGGTTTACGGGAAAAAAAACTCAAAGTTCCTTAATGTGGTACATGTATCGATTTTGCAAATGAGTCTACCCCAAGTCCTAATATAGTTAAAATTATCTGATCCTTTCTGGAAAGGTTGTTGTTCTCATTATTTGGTAATACTTCAAAGACATTTTTTCAGATAAAATTATGAGTTGCATAACGTATAATAATGTATGTCGAAAATATTTTCATCTTCGGTGCTGTTAAGGGGAATTTTGTGGCATGTTAAAGGGAATTTTATGAATGGTATCCAAACTATATCTAGCTTTTGTTGGTTCTTCTATGTTATTGCAAGCGGTAATGATGATTGTTTATGTTTTTTATAGACTCAAGAGAAGACAGAGTCTTCTCTTCTTCTATATGACCAAATTTCCTCTCATATGATGTATTACATTTAGTTAGTCGCATTCAGGTTAAATTGTACACTACACTAAATGTAGTTGTTTTCCCGGATTTGAAACAAGTACAAGTACTACAAGTATCCTAAAATAACTAATGGTACTAAATTGGACATAAAGTTTGGGAATATAGTCAGTTTTTCGTGCCAAATACCAAAATGTAAATTTTTGAAATAAAAATAATTGATTGAAATATTTTGTTTTGTTTACCTGACAAATTACTCTCATACTAACATAACTTACAATAACAAATTTCTTTGTGATTGTCATGGTAGAATTTTCTATGCAGTGAAATGGGTATGCCTATTTGAAATAACTTTACCTTCTTTATTTTACCATGGTGGTCGTAGTTAAATTATATTGTTGTTATGTAAGTTACAAGGCTCTATAATCAAATTCAATCGCTCCACCCTAGCGTGTAATTGTTGTACCATAAATTGTACTAAATTTGGTAGAAAAGTACTAAATTCGGTATAGAGTGTGGGAACAGATCTTTTAGATGAAGAGGTGGTCTTGAAAATGAGTAGTATATTGCATGGAAAGTACAAGATGGTATTTTATTTGATTCGGTATTATTCATTTAATCAATTTATTGCGCCACTGCTATTCATAAAGTAATAACTCACTATTTTTTTCAGTGTAAGTCTTGCAGACTTCCATTATACTATCGACATGATCCAAATTCTGAGAATACATTTACTTTCACCATGCGCTTGTGAAAACTATAAAAATGACATACACCTTAATCTGGAACCACGCACAGCAAAAACTCAAACTGTGGCGAGAGTGAAAAGGTTATGGTAACCAGACATACGAAAAACATGGCAAATTCAGTTCGGTAACAGTGTCAACAATAGACGAAGAAGAAAGATGAGATCGAAGCGGTTATGTCCACTTACAATATACATGTACACCAGTATTATAGTATATTTACCTTTATCTTTGCAGCGTGAAATTGCCGACAGCTATGCTAACAATGCTCGAATTATCGAAAAACAACTTCACGAAAAGGCGGCAAACTTTCTGATTTGGGAACCAGGAACAAGCTAGATGAAGTCGTCCCACCGAAAAAGCCAAGAGGAACATTATTAGACATTTAATGAAAAAAATTAGATAAATTTTGTAAAAATAGGTGAAGTCTTGTTCACTCATTCTTTTTTTTTTTTTTTTTTTTGTTTATTTACTCCAAAAATTAAATAAGCAAAATAATCGCCCTTATTACGTCGGCGTTGTCGTAGGCGTTCATGTGTCGTAGACGTAGTCGTAGGCGTTGTCATAAACTATTTTTTTTGGTATTATGTACAATTTCGAATACGTCTTTTATATAATAGATGTTAAAAAGCAGGGTGCTTTGCAATAAACAAACATTTGTAGAATTTACGAGATACCCGGAAAAATAAATAAAAGCGCCAGTTGAAATGGTTGAAGTAAAACGATTATTGTTAAATTAAATATTGAAACATGTAAGTGTTGGCATTTTTATCTGAGGATGAATATGAATATATTCAAAATGATTTTAGCGTCAGGCGAAACATATTGCGGCAAAAGTTTAACATATTTCCATTCCTGATTCCCAGAAAGTAAATGAGAAAGAAGCTAAAATAAATAATTTTTTCTTTAGATTTGTTAGTTACTTCAGGCTTAGTAAGGGCTGCATTCAATATGTTTGGCCCAAATCACTCCAGACCTCATAGCCGGGTAAAATCTACAAGTGTACTAAACATACTAATACTAGTAACAACATTCGAATCAGCGATGCCAACTTAGTGCTTTTCGCGCTATTTATGATGCTTTTTAGACAGACACCCCCCCCCCCTCCACCCCACCCCCCCCCCCCCCCCCCCCCCCCCCCCCCCCCCCCCCCCCCCCACCCCCCCCCCCCCCCCCCCCAATAAAAAATTCTTTACGCGTCTTTCATTCCTGTCATTGACGTTCTTTTGTTTACATGTAACTCTTTTTTAATAAACCAAAATAAAACGAAGAATTTTGTGTATTATATACCAATTGAAGCAAAAATAAAATGAACGAGAAAAAAAAACGCGGATGTCATTTCTAATATGGAACTAAGTAGTGACAATAGATAGATCTGGATAGAAGTAAACGAGTTCAAAGATTCCATAGGGCAAAATCCCTTTCAAGATTTATCAGAATTCGTTTTAAACTGTTAATCTTCCCATACTCAAATGCAGAAGTAGAAAGAGCATTCAGTGCTATGAATTTATATAAATCGAAAATCAGAAACAGATTATCCTTAAATTCTATTTTTCATATTAAATATGTCCTTCGTCGGGAGAATACGTGCTGCGACAAATATGACCTGTCGTCAAATGTCTGTAAAAAATTTCTAAACAGGAAGTTTACAAATAGTCAAACTATTTTTTACAAAGTGTCTTATGGCAAAATGAAGAAGAAACTGATGCAGATATTTCAACTGCATTTGAAGCTATGGGTTTTATAGGTGAACATAATTGTTTGTAAAAATGTATATGTCTGTAAGTTTTAACCACATGTAAAATGTTCCTAATATATCATATTTATGAAAAATATGTATGCACTTATATACATGAAATGTTTATACAAGATGCGATCTAAATTTTTGAATAAAGCAGTATTTAGTTTAAAAAAGTGTTTTATTGACAATTTTGGTTAGAAAAAAATACATAGCGCTTTTTTAGGAAAGTTTTTATGCCATTTACGCTTTTCTGGTTTTTATTACGCTTCTAGCTCTCAAAATGTTGGCAACACTGATTCGAATACTGGCTGAAGGAAGTTATCAAAAGGGCGCTGCAACGATTATCATGTCAGTTTATCACAGTCTGTCAGCAATGTGTTCCGCGAGTGCATAGAAGTATTGCATAATAAGATGTGTCCAAATTAAATCTCATTTCCCACTACAGAAGAAGAGAAATATGAAATTAAGGAACATTTTTTAAACAATATTGGATTTCCTGGTGTGATTTGAGTTTGTAGTCGGCCCATCCAGGCCTCGCCTATTCGGGCCGGCGGTCCTAGGATGTTGAGTTTTGCACCAATTTTGTTTCATTCTTCCCTGATGTTAATTTCAAGCCATTGCTGTAACTCCTAGTCAAATTTGGATTCATTTGCAAGATCTGGATTATTATGTCAAGTTGTTTCTTAGTTGTGACATTAAATCTAAAACAGCGAAATGTTATAGATATACATATATTTTTGTAATGTATACTTTCTTATTCAAATCCATTTTGTATATTATTTATTCTTTTGTAATGCCAATTTAGAGGAACTTTTGTGTGCTGTCGGCAACAAAATCTCTAACGACAAATTTTGCAGCGTTTGTCGAATTAGAAGGTCCTTGTGGTACGAAAATTATATATTATTTTATAAAAAGTAATTATTTTTAAAATTGTTTGTTCCAAAATGGCCATTTGTACATAAATTGTTCACATATCTATTAAAGCCATAATACGCTTAAATTGTATATTAAGTCATTTTAATCACAATAAATAAATATTTCTTTGAGCTTTAGATCTGGGTTTTTTTCTTTGGAAAAGGTCGATTAAAAAACAAACTTGAGTCATTTTAATCAGACAAAAATAATTTTAATTTTAACATACTTTTTGCCAGTCTCTAATCGGTGACCCGTTTACATTTAATTTTGTAGCAATGGATTCCAATCTGATTTAAAATTAGCTGGAAAATTACCTTTGGTAAACCTTTTTGCCAAATATGTTTTTTTCCAATTCGGAAACCAACATTTTAAATTGTTTTGCTGTTGTTATTTTCATGGTCAAATATAAAATACAAAAAAGTTACAAGATCTACGTCAACTAAAAAATACAATGTCGTCAAAATTTTTTACGGCGACAGATTTTCTTAAAAATCGACTTCACGTCGACTGTTGTATCGACAATTATAATAGCAATCATTTGTCGCTATCGACAAAAAACGACAACCCTAACATCACTATAGTCGCCTCGACTTCATTTTGAGACGCCGACGACAACCATAATAGGGCCGATTATTTCTTACTATTTACAAAGGTTGTGTTTCTACTATTATCTTTTTTTATTTACAATGGGTTTGTTGCTACTATTATCGACTACAGCTCGGCCAACCTGACAATAGTGACAGCCCCGGTCACATGGGGATTGAGTTAATCAAATGGGCAATGTATTGAAACTATTGGACTACATAGTTACTCTACTCAATCTAATGCTATATACACTACGGGACAGAACAATCCTGGGTCTCTACAATTTCATATTACATCTTCCATAATTTCATATTACAAGCATGATCTAGTATAGGTCCCCCTTCCAGCTCAGCCGATTACCAAACGATCTGTCCGAGGTAGGTTTAACAGGTAACCGCATCGGCGAATTGCTACAACCAAGGTAGATCTAACAGCTAACCGCATCGGCGAATTGCTACAACAAAGCAACTTTGTGGTACCCTCAAATGTCAAAATTGGCATCTAAGGCGAAAAACATAGATTCGCCATGACATTTAAAGGTTGCGGCAAATTTGTTTCAACCAATCAGAAACGAGGTGGTGCCGATAATATCTATCGCATTTGGGACAAAACTATCTTGGCAACGCTGGAAATTCATCCTATGACTTAGCTCCATGCCAGCCGTAAGGTGTTTGAAACCCGTTTAATCAGCGCTACCATTCTCAAGAAAATCTTGAATGCCATCAAAGATTTGCTAAATGACGGAAGATTTGGTAAATTGCACGATAGCACATGCACTAAAAACGATGACTATGAGGCATTTAGTGGTGTTGGTTCGGCCAATGTTAAATTGGCACAAACTTCAAGTGTGGACAAAGTAGATGCGGCAGTCATTATTGAAATGCAACAGGATTTATAGACTCAAATGCCTATATGCCGCCGTTCCGGAACTGCAAATGGCAAGAGTCGAATTATTGCACTACTTCCCGTGATGTGCTTTATATTAAAATGGTCCATACAGATCTTAGATGTTCACCTTTAGGAACACTAAATAGTGTTAAATTTCCATCACAATATTTCTTATTGCAAATCGAGCACTTTTTCATTTTCTTTTAATTTTTTACTGGTTTCACTCTAAACTTGCTCTTAAATTATTTGAAATATTATATAAAGGTACTTTTGGGGAAGAAAACATAAACAAATTTGTTGTTGCATTCATTTAGGGCGAATTCATCATTACAACAATTAGTTTTGACATTTAATGGTGCCGTCAGCTGGGCTGATGCGATTACCTAGTACATCTACCTTGGTTACAACCAAGCAACTTTTGTGTTACCCTCAAATGTCAAAATAGGCATCTAAGGTGAAAAACATACATTCGCCATGACTAATGTGACCATTTATATTTTTCGTCAGAGCGGGACGCCTGCGGAATTTTGTAAAAAAAAAAATTATGCATTTAAAAACAAATTTTATTCAAAACGGAGAGAATACGTATAAATCTAATTTATGAAATTAATCTTATGTCTAAGTATTCGTTTTATATTTGTCAGCAGAGCAAATAAGTTTTAAAATATCGGGTCTAGTTTTCAAGTAGGAATGGAGCTGATTACATTGTTTGTTGATGTTAGTCTTAGAACTGCGTTTTTTCACTTGTCCATATTTTATTCATTAGGGAAAAAACTCTTTCGACAGGTGCGTTACTTCCAGGCATACATAAAACATACTCAATAATTGTGCGAAAGTTTGTGCAGTTGAGATTATTAGCACGGAAGTGTTTAAACAGCTCCACCCAACGGTCTTCAGTAGCAACATTCTCATCGTTTCAGCTTTTGATTTTTTCAACTGTGACGTAACTGGAAATAAGCGAAAACTCATCGAACACCTCCGTATCTTGGCTACTGCTAAGAAATCTTTGTGTGATCAGCAAATCCGTCACATTCTGTACGTCTTCCCAAGTAGGGACTTTTCTCAAATTTGACCATTCAAATACTGCTAGTTGTGCATTGAACTGGCACCACTGTTCCAAGTATTCTTTACTTGTCTTATAAAAATCCGCTGCCGCAGTTTTCACATTCTGCTCATCAACAGCAACGTCAGTTTTTTGTAATTTTACCAGTAGATTGCGGACGGAATGAGGAAGGAAAATCGAATTCTCTTTAAGTTCTAAGTTATCTCGGAGACGATTAATTTCATTCGCAGACTCTATTGCGGACACGTTGTGTCCCTCGATTTTCAACACGGAAAAATCGCTGTCTGTGCGTGCAAAAAATATAACCACAATTCAGAGCTGGGATTTTCGAAAAATGTTTTTAAAATAGTAGGGCATTTATCTATGCTCAGAAAATAGGTTTTCAAAGGCTGAAACATTTTTAAAATTCTCTCAAGCGCCGGCATTAAAGCAAGCCACCTTGTTTTACTGTAGCCCAACAGTTTCTGATACTCTGTGTCGGTGGAATCACAGAACTCTTTCAGAACTTCTACCCGAATGCTGTAGATGTA